CGTCCGAGTGGGTGTATTGCAAAAAATCCTGGATCAGCGCAGCAAGTCCAGTCTGGGTCGCCAATTCCCAGTCAAATGAGGGTGCTATGTCGATCTCCTTAGTGAGCAGCGAACTCAAATTGTTGACATATTATGCCCAGGTTGCATCGTTCAGAGTTTGCAGAAATTGTAAAAAACGGTGATCGGTCACTTCCTCCTCGGGTGGGTTGGTCCTTTGAGTTCTTCGGGTCATAATCTGCACAAATAAAACAACACAAAACCAAACAAAATATAAAGCATTAACATTTTAGAATGAATAATGGTCCTGGTATGAACTGTACGCTGGGCGTACATCCAGCTTACGCTGGGCGTACGTCCTGTTTCACGAAGCTGTCCCCCTGCTCATTCAAAGGCCATACACCTCCACAAACTACGCGGAGTATTCTACAAGATATTCAAATAAAATGGGGTAAAAATCCCCTGTTGTTATAAATCAATACCCATGACAAAGCTTTCAAATTAAGCATATACGTAGGTAGTAAATACTCCAGGGGTCGAACACATGGGGGGGGGGGGGGGCATATCGAACATACAACTGCGTGGTTCAAGGCAGTAAAAAAAATCGAAGAGAGTATAGGCGTACGCTAGGCGTCCGTCCCCAAGCTCAAATCGGCGGTCATGGGACGGGATTAAGACCAAATTAGGTCCTAGGGTTTAGTCTATTGATCGAAATCGGTCTATTTAAGCCATAATCAGTCATACATTTGTGAAATCGTCCCCTAATTCGAAAAATACATGAACCCTAGATTTCGAACAAAGGCTTAATGCAGCTTATTTCATCGATTAAACACAAATCAAAGCCATTGAGTAACCGAATAACATACCTGTGTGTCGAATTTTACAAGAAAAGAAGAAGAATCGGAGATTTTTGGGAGAGCTTGTCGTCACAGTACGCGGCGAAGGAAAAGAGAATTGAAAGAATAACAAAAAAAAAGTCAAAGGGTAAACAGATATAACCTGTCGTTGATTTACGCTGGGCGTAAGGAAAAGTTACGCTGGGCGTAACCCCAACTCCGTGAAAAGGCCATCCGCGATCAATGGTTCATTACGCTTGGCGTAAATTAAAATTACGTTGGGCGTAATTTTAGCTGAAATATTTCCTTTACCTTATTTGAAATTCCTTTTTTTTCAACTAATTAATTTGGGAGACTTATAATTATTATTAATTAATTTTTTTTTCTTTTAATTGCTTCAACAACAGCCATGACTTTCCGATGAGTGACATTTAAAAAAATGAGACGTCATAATCACTTGTCTTTGTCGAGGTCAAACAACAACGGTTGATCAAAAACCTTTGCACGCAAGAATTGGTTTGCGAAAACAACCACTTTCGGGACCCGTTAGAATATTTCCTTTGTTTTCTTTGCACTTTTAACTAAACGCGGAACAAGAAGTGACCTAACTAGTCAAGAACAGCAAGAGCTCGGTCTTCCACTTAACCACCACAATACGCCTTGCTATACTACGCCTCATGGATTGAGTCGGTCAAATCAACAAAGTAGTAGGCTAAGCAGGTCAAGAATTCCCTAATCGCTTGCATTCTCGAAACCCATGCAAAAAGTAAAGTCAAACAATGTGTATGATCCCAAATTCCTGCAAATAACAACAAGAACCTTCCCGACAAGTGAAATGATATCAACGAAAATCAAACTAAAAACAAAAACTAACTAAAAACAATTAACGAATAATCAAATAAACTAAATTAATGACAAGCCGTTCCCCGGCAACGGCGCCAAAAACTTGATGTGCACAAAAGTACCCACTAATTTTAATATTTATAACCTAACAAACTTAGACTAACTATGCACTTATAGGCAGTGTACCTAGTCAGATTACAGTATAGCTTAGGTAAGTCGGGTGTCGATCATAAGGAACGGTGGTGAATTAATTTAAAATATTTGATTATAGGTTACAGGTCACACGAAAAGAATAAAGAAGTAATTTAATAAATCTCAAACGAACAATTAATTAACAACTCTCGATAAACTAACAGGAAAGCAAATCTCTTCAGGTACTTTGGTTTAGATAAATTACACCTTAAAAACATAGACAATTGCATACACAAATTCATTTATTCATGTTCACCGATTCCTAAAATGATTAGATTCGCGTTCACTATAACTAATCCTTTAGCAAACAAGTCAATTCAAACAGTGATCAGTTGGTTAAACTAACATGCTTCCTAGTGTTCAGTTCGTATCAAGCAAGACTTGTAAATATAGCTAATCAAATTGGTCGTTCAATTAACCTCTTGTTGATGGTCATCAGACAAGGCTTACACATTAACTTACTTATTCTCAAGTTAATCCTAGTTTCACATTCGTTATTCCTAGACTTATAATCTCGATGGTCATCAAAATCATAAGAGACAAGCAATCAAAGAGATGTTCATACAACTCAATTTACTTAATAATTAACAGCAAATAATTATCATTAACACGTAAGGATCTTTTAACAAGCTTGGCAAGATAAATTAAACATAAATAAACAATTCAATATAGCAATTAGTCTAATAATCAAAGCTTCATTCAATCATAAACGCAAAGTAAAAGGTTTTTACACCTAAATCAGAAACTAAACACATAATAGTAACACAATGGAATGCTAAACATGGTCACGTTAACAACCCATATGATTACCAACATGTATCCGCTCTCCAATCCTTCCGATCTCTGCTCCCGTTAGCTTAACGGCCTTCCGGCCGCCTTCTAGACCCTAAAAACGGCTTAACAGAAGTTTAATATCGACTAAATTAAGTTGGAAGTCGAATCCCCCCTTCTGGTTAGCTGATAATCGACTTTTATAACCCTTGTAACCGACTTACGTACGCTGGGTGTAAGTCGGATTACGCTGGGCGTAGTGAAGATTATTACGCGATTGGAGTTATCTGATGCCAGCCGTTACGCGGGGCGTACACTTTTATTACGCTGGGCGTAACTCTAATTTAGCCATTACGCTTGGCGTACAAGTTCATTACGCGGGGCGTAAATGGCTCCTCCAGCATTTTTCCTTTCTTTTAGCTTCTAAGCCCGATTTCCACTTCAGTCTTTTCTTTTGTGCTCTATCGACAACGAATAGCTGCAAATCATAATTCAAAGCATTATAAGTACTTTTTAGTTCTAAAAGAGAATAATAAAGGCCAAAATATTAAGATATAATGCATAAAAATATATATAAAAATACACATATCACTTCTTAGCTACCTTGGCCCGACGCCTTATCGACATTCTTGTCACATAGCAGCCCCGCTTCGCATAACATTATCAACAGCCTCGCTTTGCATGATCGTAACAACAGTATGTTCCATCATATCGATCGGATCGTACTCTTAATAAGGAAAAGTCATTCAGCTAGCCCATGTCTGGCTCATTGCGCATCACCACGGTTCTCATGGGAAAGGTTCGATCATTTCTTTTCATTCTTTGATATATTGGTGCTTTATCTAGTCCGATCTGATTGGACTAGGGGGACTTGACGACACATAGTTTATATGACTGAGTCCAGTCCAATGTCATTGGCCGTGTACTAATAACATCGGATTGGGGGACTTGATGATATATGGTCCATTAGCATGGCTTAGACAGCTCTGGCGCGCCAGCCTCACCTAGCGCTCCCTTGCCAGCCTTTATGTGGACTCTCCTGCTGGCCAGGCCTGGCGCTCCCTTGCCAGCCTTGCTGGGGGCTCCCTTGCTAGCATTGTTGGGGACTTTCCTACTGGCCCGGCCTGGCGCTCCCTTGTCAACCCTGTTGGGGACTCTCCTGCTGGCCCAGCCTGACGCTTCCTTGCCGACCTTTCTTGGTGTGCGCCCACCAGCCTTGCCTGGTGCGCGCCCGCCAGCCTCACCCAACTCCTTGCTAGTTGGGCCTGAATTGGGTTGGCCCAAGTCCTGACCTAATTCCCATTGACCTAATTATCCTCTATATAGTGAACAATATCGCCTCCATGGAAGGGGGACTTTCCCCTTTGGCTCAGTCGCCATCCTATACTCCGGCCGGGTGGCTCAGCTGTCACCCGCCGCCGTCAGCCACCATACACCACCACCAGCACCAAGATGGTTCACTCCAACTAAAGAGAACCATCTCAGATCTACCAGCTGATCTAACTTGATCATCGGAGCCCGCTCCCGGGGCACAGTCCCTGGGGCGGCTCTAACGGCCTTGTCTGTTGTGACCTCGCAGATTTGTCTCCAGTGTAGAAGCACATCCTCAGCGAAGGTGGTCGGAGCCGAAGTCGCATCAGTATTGTAGGAGAATCATTTTGTCTTAATCATGTTCTAATTGTCGGATGTGGATGGATTTTCTCAAGAGGAAGCAAACATAATACAAATGAAAGAATGGAAAAGATGTCTAGATATGCGAATAGATTTAGTGGCGACAAGTGAGTTTTAGTGTCGATGAAATAGTTATAGTGGTGACACATTGGAGGGAAGTATTCGCAGTATTTTTTTCCACAGTATTAGCGACGACATATGTAGCCGCTATTGTCGTCGCTAGTATTGGTGTGTACCATGCGTGTTTTCAGTTGTTAGATTTGGCAAAAAATCGGGGTAGAGTTTTACACTTGAGATACACGTGGATTGGGGTCGTCATTAAAGCCCACTATACTTGTGATTTTAAATAGTTTGTTATGATTATATTAACCCTAACAAATTAAATGACAAATACGGACGATGGTTACTGTATATATTTATTTAATAGTATCAATTGTTTACATAATTTACTTTTCTTTTAAGGAAAATTTTTATAGGATATTTAGTTATCAAATCTCACCTATATATGTATGTTTATCTCTTGTGATCTCAAAGAATCCTGAGTCTATAAGGTTAGTCGGTTTAGTATAAATATCAGCGACATGATGCATTTAGGGTTTGAGTTATAATATTTATTCAAACAGATCGGCCCTATATATACCGCATGTATCTTAGATACCCTTCAAAAAAGCGACAGAGACAGTGACAGACATGGGTCATGAGTTGCCGGCAGACCTCATCTACGACATCCTGTCAAGAATGCCGGTCAAATCTTTGGATCGTTTCCGGTGTGTATGCAAACAGTGGTGTAAGTATATCGATGAACCTAACCTTGCCATCATCCAGATGAATCGAGTAGCAGAAGAACCCATTCCGATCATGTTGAGAGTGTACCCTGATCCTGGTTGCGACCTTCTAACTCTTTTTCGTATCACTAAATCCAAAAAAGATGTGGCGAAAAAGGACTCGGTTTTGGAGTTTGAATGTAAGGCGCCGTTCTATGAGTATAACAGACACAGCATTAGAGGTTCTTGCAATGGGCTACTCTATTTATCAGAGTACAGCGACACCGACTTTCCTTCAACCACTCTGTCTGTGATCCATCCTCTAAGGAATCAACGTTATGAGTTGCCACCTATCAAGATAATGCAATCGTCTGGCCTTGGTTTCGATGCTTCTACCAACACCTTCAAGATGTTGGCCTCAGCCTTGGTGAAGATTGGGAAGAGAATGTATACAGAGCATACCATGGTGCATGTCTTGGGCACCGACTCATGGCGAGAGATAACCCAAATCCCACGTTATCTCATGAAGGGTAAGGGTATATTCGCACATGCATGTTTGCATTGGTTAGGGTTTCATAAACAAATGAGGCATACTGTAAGTTTTGGGTTTTTTGAGCCATTACCACCCAATCACAGAAAGAAAGTGGTACGTTTTGATATAAGGAAGGAGGAATTCGGGCTGATTGATCCTCCTAGAAAAACAGGAGACGATTGGGTTGAAACTATGTTGGTTGATTTGCATGGTGAAGTTGGATTAGTGTATAATAGTACCCACTCCTTTAGCATGGAGTTGTGGGTATTGAAGCAGAATGATCAATGGATGATCCAATGTCAGTTTGATTCCAAACCACCTCTTACTTATGAATATATAGAGATTGTAGGTTTTTGGAACATTTCTGGAGACATTTTAGTAACAACCGAGGGTGGGAAACGGTTGTTTGTTTACAAAGTCAAAAACGGGGGTTTCCATGAAGTCAATCTTGTTGGTTGGGAAGATGGATGGTCATATGTTCATATGTATCGGGGTAGCCTTTTTTCAGTTCCTGGCATGAAGAAATGGGTGTCTTCTAGTTCTAAAAAAAGAAAAAGAAAAAGAAAAGAAAGAAGAAGAACCAGAATTCCATCAAAACTGATTTACCGTTTTTTGGATTTTTGTTAGGTAGTAGAGATTTAAGCAAGGGTCGATATTAGTATATATACGTATGACTATCCGTTAATAAGTTTATACATTTTGTGTTGAAAATTTTTGCCTTGTTGCTTTGGTAATATACATTGGTTTCTACTTTAAGTTCTTGTACAGTTGTCCCGGTACAATCAATCATAGATGATTATTAAACTTAGAAGCTCAACAAATAATATAATTGATGTGATGAGAATGTAACTTTAAATAAGATATAAAATAATCTTTAATTAACTCCTAGATAATACGACTTTAATGACATGCGAACTAGAAAAATACCGTCTCATCAAGACATAAATTGGATTTACCATTGTCTACCAACAAACACAACTATTCATAAAGTAGTAGTAGAACAAGAACAATAACATCTCATCATAAAGTACATTATCATTGTCTATCAACCAACAATTATGTTTCACAAAACTATTCACCTCTTACGGGCTAGGAGAAATTGACCTATAATGAGAATTATCAAAATAGCCATTTTGGGTGGCGGTGACCAGTCAACGAGCGGACTACGGCTGCGGCTTCTAGGCGGCCCATTGTAAGGCGTTGACCGAGGTCTCACTGGAGATTGTGAATATGACCTTTCTCGACTGTGTCTTTTTCTCTCGAGGTGAAATTGACCTACAATGAGAATTATCAAAATAGCCTTGTGAATAATACAATTTTTATCAAATTATATAAAGATAAATTATTAATTTATTACCTCACGTGTTGCTTTCGCTTTGGAGGAGGGGAGTATTCATAGATGTGGGATCGCGAACGAATGTAGCGTGGCGGTGGTGAGCGGGAGTAGCGAGGTGGGGCTGACCGCTTGCGATCGTTAGGCCTTCCGAATCCGCCTCTAAAATAACAAAAGATCATATTACTACAAAATGTAAAGGCAACTGACACTTATACTACTCATGTACTACTCCATAATTACTATAACATCCTCAATTTTCTAATCTTCATATTCAACTTGTGCTCATTTTAATAACATTTAGAACCATTTACGAGATAATGGCTTGAAAGGGTAACAAACTTTCAATGTTGTTCACATTTAGTTATTAAACTTTTTTCGTGCTTGATTTAACCATAAATTATTTGAAATTGTTCACCTTTTACCCCTTATGACCGGTTCATAAGGGTAAAACGTAACCAATTTCAAATAATTCAGGGGTAAATCAAGCACAAAAAAAAAAATCAATGACTAAATGTGAACGAAATTGAAAGTTTGTCACCATCTCAAATCATTATCTCGCGAATATTTGTTTTTTTCATAAAGAACGGGGCGTTTTGTGAAGATAATTATTTAGCAATGGAGAGGATGTGGTTTTCTTCCGAAACACATACCAATTTTGTTAAAATGTACTCTTTGTTTGGTGGGGAAAATTTCTTTGTTTTATTTTTATACGACTTCAATGAAATTAGATAACCGTATCGATTTTTTTTTCTTTAGCTGAGGAGGGAGAAAAATTTAATCATGTTAGCGTATATTTATTGTGTATTGTGTATTATACGGTTTTTACCTTTAACCCACATTGTTTTGTTAGGCGTGTATTATACATCCCATGTAATCATTATCTGATTATAGGCGGCATGTATTGCAATTTTGTATATATTTGAAGAAAATAATAACAAAATCATTCTATGCCAACCCTACTTGTGTCAGCAAATCATTTTATTAATGAAGGGTGCAGAGTACTTATTGTTGTTGAAAGTTTAGTAAAGTTTTGACAATTTATTTATTTGTCACTCTATATATAATAATTATTAAAAATAAAATTAAAAAATTAAAAAATAAATAAAAAATCAACAACAACAACAACCATATATAACTAAGCCACCAAGTTTTTTAAGAATTAAGTCCATCAAGAAAAAAAAAACTACAACAACACCACATAAGTTGAATAGGCCTACATTTTTTTTGTAACGTGTCAAAGTTTGGTAAAATTCAAATCTTGATCATGTGTTTTGTAGTGCAAGGATATATTGTGGCATTATCTTTGTTTGGGATCTAAATATTAGAATAATGACTTAGAGTGTAACGAACTTTCGATTCTCTTCACATTTAGTCACTATTTTTTCATGTTTGATTTACCTTTGTATTTATTTGAAAATGTTTACGTTTTACTCTTATGATCGGCTACACCGGTCAAGACATAAGGGTAAAATATGAACATATAAAATAATTCATAGGTAAATCAAACACAAAAAATAGTTCAGTGACTTAAGAGTATTAGTCATTTTTGTAATCATCCCTTAGATTAATAGTCGCTACGATTTGTTTTGAGTTGTGCTTGTAAGGAGTATTATAGAATAAAATGTGTATCATATAGCCATGTTATAGTTCATTGCTTTAATCATAGTCAATGAGATAAACTTTTAACTAGAGTTTCTTTATTCACGTATAAGTGAAACGCCAACCCACAAAAAATAAATAACCAGTAGAGTTTCGCAAAGGCAAAAAGACACATATACTAGCAATAAAACGAAAAATTGATCGAAAATCAAAAGGAGTATGGTGAGAAGGTACATATAGAACTAACATATAAATAGAAAATGTAGATACAAGTAATAACTAGGAAAAAATTTATCGACAAAACAAGTTGAAAATAAAAACAATGAAAACTAGGCAAAAAACACAAACAATGTAAAGGCAAGTGACACTTAGACTACTCATATACTACTCCACAATTACTCCAACATCCTCATTTTTGTGATCTTCATATTCAGCTTGTCCTCATTTTAATAACATTTAGAACCATTTACAAGATAATGGCTTGAAATGGTAACAAACTTTCAATATTGCTCACATTTAATCATTAAACTTTTTTCGTACTTGATTTACCCATAAATTATTTGAAACTGTTCACATTTTACCCTTATGACCGGTTCATAAGGGTAAAATGTGACTAATTTCAAATAATTGAAGGGCAAATCAAACACGAAAAAAAATCAATGACTAAATGTGAATTAAATTGAAAGTTCGTTACTCTCTCAAGTCATTATCCCTTGAATATTTGTTTTTTTTTTCATAAAGAACGGGTGTTTTGTGAAGATCATTATTTAGTATTGGAGAGGATGTGGTTTTCTTCCAAAACACATACCACTGTTGTTAAATTGTTTTGTTAGGCTTGTATTATACAGCCCATGTAATAATTATAGGCAATTTTGTATATATATTGGAAGAAAATATATACAAAATCATTTTATTGCCAACCCTATGTTGCATGTGTCAACATATCATTTTATTAACGAAGGGTGTAAGAGTAGTTATTGTTGTTGAAAGTTTAGTAAAATGTTGACAATTTATTTATTTGTCACTCTAATTAATTGGGCTACTAATTGTGGGCAAATAGATTTTGCTATTATAAGCAAGTAAAAAAAATCTTTGTTAGTAGAAAGAGTAAAAAATTACGAATTTACCCTTTAAGTTGTTTGTAGATTCATCCAAGTCTTGTTGTTAATCGTAAAATACTATAAATGCAAAAGTTCATTTTTATTTTATTTGGACAGGTCTTCTTCCCGCCTGAGTTCACTTCCAACAGAATCAACTCCTCATTCTTCTCTGTTGGTTCGATGAAGAGCTTCAAACTGCTTTTGAAGCTAGCTTGCAGACGTCGTCCATCATCAAACCAACGAAAACTTGCAGGTTTCTTCCTATTTGTTCCAATATGAGTTTTAATTGAGAATTTGCTTCAATTCACTTAGAATCACATTGATCTGTTTTGAATTGACTTCGACATCTGTTTTGAAATAACGATATGAAATCATAGATTTAGGAAATTAGATTCTGTTCTTAGTTCATGAGACTTAGGAAATTAGATTCCGACATCTGTTTTGAATTCACTTAGAATCACATTGATCTGTTTTGAATTGACTTCGACATCTGTTTTGAAATAACGATATGAAATCATAGATTTAGGAAATTAGATTCTGTTGTTATCATTAGTTCATGAGACTTCTGTTTTTTAGTATCGAATTGTGTTTCTAGTTTGATCGAATTGTGTTTCTAGTTTGATCGTCGTCAAAAAAGAGAAGTTTAAGCTCGTGATTTTGAATTCCGGAATCACAAATTCATTTTTCAATCGAGATCGTTTGTAATGCTTGTCGGAAACACTGTTTGGAAGTAATTCATGCTTTTGTGATTAATTAATGCTCGATTCAGTCAATTTTATAGTATCGTGTTGTTTTTCTAGTTTGATCGTCGTCAAGAAGGAGAAGTTCCAACTTCCAAGTCGTAATGTTGAATCAATAATGTATATATTTCAAATCACCGATTCTTTTTTGTTTCTTAATTGAGATTGAGGAAATTAGTTATGTTTTTTGATTAATTCATGCGATTCATCTGGTTTTTTAGTAGTATCGTATTGAGAAGTCTAAAGTTCTTCATATTGAATTGATACTGATTTCAATTTGACAGCGAAACACAAGCGTCCATCGCCGCCTCGGTCACCGTTGCCACCATCACCTCCGCCACTTCCATCTCCACCGCCACCACCACCGCCGCCTCCGCCTCGTCGATCTCCACCGCCACCACCACCACCGCCGCCTCCGCCACGTCAATCTCCACCGCCGCGTCGTCGTCGGGCCCGATCTCCACCTTCAGTTCGACGGGTGCCGCCAGAAGGTCCATTTGATGGACCTAAAACTTTTCGTTGCGATGACTGTGAAAAATACACCATTCCTGTTCTAGCTGAATGCGGTCGGGATGTGTTTTGCATTAACTGTGTTTACGATGGGTTGGAGAGGAATGGAAATCGCTGCCCAAAGTGTAATTTGGAAATATCAAGCTTTTGGAGAATTGAGGACAACAATACGGTTGTGAAGAGAAGGAGGCTGGATTGATTCATCAATCATCATCACTGCAAACTCAAACTGCCATATGGAGGTAATCATAGCTCTTGTTTCTTGTGGCTAGAGTAAATACATTCAATTCCTTGCCTTTTGCTAGTATTACCTTTTCACGAAGAACATTGGTTGCCATTTATTAGTTGACTGGTACCTTTTAAAGAAGAAGATGAGTAGTTGACTTCTGTTTGACGTTAACTGTTTTTGTTGGAATAGGTTTTCTTTTTTGACTCCATTTGGACAGATAGAGATGCTCTTTCGTATGAGATTAGATGATTTGATGAATTAAGGTGCTCTTTCTTTTTTGCTTAATGGGGACATGACTTAATTTAGACAGCTTATTTCTTTTTGACTCCATATAAACAAATGGCTTAAGTCTTTAAATATAAAGACTTAATTATTTTTTTTCAAAAAAATTCTTTCTAAATTTCTTTCAAAACCCAAACAAATCAAGAAAGTTTAAGGATTTAAGAAGCCCATAAATGTGTCTTTTTCGATTGAGTGAATTGTCCAAAACAGGATTCCCAAAAGTTAAAAAAAATTCACTAAATAAATTTGAATAACAAAGTATCCAAAGAAGAAGAGTATATGCATACATTTAGGGTTCTTTAGCTCAAAGCAGAATCTGAGGTGCTTTAGTTCTTTAAAATGTAACAGGTAAGATATCATTTTTCAAAGTGCAGGGCTATAATAGGAAAAACTGAAAGTGAAATGCTAAATGTCATCATGCAAACTAATATTCTAGTAATACACAAAATTACAGAAATGGTCCTTATAACTTAAATTATAACATATAATATTAGTCCCTAATCAAGGGAACATGATCATGCTTGTCTAATGAGTAGGGAATGAAATGAGTTTCTTATACAATGTAATGTATAGTTTTAACTCTACTCTATACATTATTTAACTACAATTCTAAAAAAATAAACATAATAACAGCTTATTAAAACCCAGATGAGTTACAATAGAGATATATTTATTTAGTAATTTTAGGAAATAAAATTGTAATTAAAAGTGGTTTATAT